TTGATGGAAATTCTATGTTTGTTTGGCACGGAAGAAGACAAGTTGAGCGGGAAATTCCCTTTTTGTACATTGCCGAAGAAAACAAAAAATCTTCAATCCCATGCTAAGGGGCGCTTTTTATTTTCTCCACTTTCCAAAGGCAGCATATTGTTACATTAGGACAAAAATGAAGACTTGTCAACACACTTGCACAATCAAGTTGGAAACACCCAAGTCAAGTTTGGTACACAGGTTCCATAATAAATATCCATATAAATGAAAACAACTAATGATCTGCGTCACATGGTGGTGTTTTCAATCTAGTTTCCTCCTAAATTGTCGTAATCTCAAGGCTCAAGAAATTAAAAAAGAAAAATCACACAAGGATTATGACCTTGACAACTTCTGCATTTTAATTTGTATTTTATTTAAAAAATTATTTAATAGTCTTAAAATTACTAACATAATATATGCGGGTTGTACTCCTCAATCAAAGGATAGATGAGATCGAATACTAATCTGATAACTACTGCTCTTATTAATCTGAGAGTGGTATGTCAACTTGTTGAGTTAGTGCTCAAAAAATACTGAACAATTACTTGCATCAAACACTACCGAACTAAAAATATTACTATAAAAGCATTATTGAGAAAGTAAGGCTCCGTTTGGTAGAGCTTTGTAACTATGATTTGAGAATATGAGTTGTATTTTGAGTTTGTGTGTTTTAGAATTATGATTTGAGTGTAGAAAATTTGTTTGGTTATGGTTTTTGAATAAAGTGTTGAATTGAGTGTGGAATTGAGTGTAGAATTGAGTTTTGAAAGTTTGATTTGACATGTGAAGTAAGAAAATTTGTTTGGTTATGAGTTTTGAAAAGAGTTTTCAAAACTTAATTCAAATTGTTATAACTCATAACAAAACACATTACTTTCACATTATTGAAAATTTTGATCAACACTCATAACCAAACTCTTTTTAAAATTCAATTAAAAAAATTTATTATTAACAAAAAATAACATTAATCAATTTTTTAATTGAAAATACTACAAAGGAAATAATTTTTTTTCAAAATAAATATTCAAAAAATTTAAATCATAAATATTTAAATAATTTAAATAATCTAAAAAATTTAATAAGTAAAAAATTAAAATAAATATTCAAAAATTTTAAATCGTAAAAATTTAAATAATTTAAATATTCAAAAAATTAAAATAATTTAAAATTTTAATATTTTAAATTTAAAAACAACTCTACACTCAAATCGTAACCAAACACATAAAACAAAACTCAATTAAAAAATTATTTTTAAAACTCATAACCAAACACATAACTCGAAACTCCATACTACTTTCACAACTCTACACTCAAATCGTAACCAAATACATAACAAAAAAATTAAAATATTTAAAAATATTTTTATAAAATAGAGTTTGAATTTATTTTTATAAAATATTTTAAAATTTTAAAAATTAAAATCGTAATATTTAAAAATATTCAAAAAATTAAAAAAATTAAAAAATTAAAAAAATCGTAGCATATTTAAATATTAAAATATTTAAAATCTTAACAAAATTAAAATATTTTTAAAATATTGATTTGAATGGAGTTTTGAAAAGAGTTTTGAATTATGTGTTTGGTTATGAGTTTTGAAAAGTAATTATTATGTTTTGAATTGAGTTTTGAGAAATGAGTGTAGAATTATGATTTAAAAACCTTAAACAAACACCACACTCAAAAGTGAGTGTGGAACTAGATTTTGAAAACTCCACCAAACGGAGCCTAACTTTTGTGAACATGACACTCCTTACTAAGAGCATCTCCAACGGTAGTAGGCATTTTACCTATCTAAATATTACTATAAAGAATATATTTTATTTTGCCTATCGATTGTTTTATGTTTTTACTCCAATCATACTCTTTATTTTAGCTATTTATCCAAATACTATTAATTTTATAGAATGCCACGTCAACAACAAAGATGGAGGGAAATGATCCTAATGATTGAATACATTTTGCCTAGCATTGAAGGCTAGCTACATGTAGCTAGTGAATATGAGTTGAGGCAAAATGCCTAATCATATGCCTAGTGCATTGGAATTGAAAAAAGTAAGTCACACTAGGCATTTTAACTAACAAGTATTATATGCCTAGTGCATTGGAGATGCTCTAATAGGGTCATGCAAAAAGATTAGATAGAATTAATTTTGTCTTTCACTTAGCCAACTGATGTAAATTAAGTCAGTTCCACCTATTGTGACCGTAATTTTTATTAGTCTAAGAACACTATGTCTATGTGCTAAAATAGTACTTTGAAAGTACTGAATAATTGTCCAAATCAAAAACTAATAGAATTGGAAGCATTATGGCGATCATAAATACCTTCCTTAAATCAACTTGGTAGGCATACGGGCCTTCATCTATTGTCACATAACCAACCCACACAACAAAGGAATCCAAAGGACTTACTATGCAAGAAGTAGGGCCGGCCTTGGACTAAGGCCACTAAGATATGTTCTTAGGGCTTTCAAATTTTAGTCCAAAATAAGGTTCTAAATTTATTAATTTTATATTAGATTAAAAGTTCAAAACTCAATCTTTTTTTATTGTTTGAGACCCAGTCTAAAAGGCCCCTCAAAAATATCTGTTTGGCCAAATTAAAAATAAAAAAATAAAAAAATATATATATATATAATCATTGTTAGGCCCAATTAAATTTTTTTATAATTAATCCAAACAAATATATATGATATAATGAGTCCAAATAGAGTCTAATATCAAGAATTTAATAGAATAAATAATTGTATCTTTATTTTTTTACCATATCTCTTTATCATATTTTAATTGAATAATTTAACCGTAATTTCTTTTCCTTAATTTTGTTTGCCCTAATTTTTTTGCACTCTCTCTTTATCATAATTTACTTGAATCGAATAATCTTGCCTTAATTTTTTCTCCCAATTTTTTTTCCCAATAATTTGTGTTTTCTTATCAAATAATTAGTGGATTGTAATTTGTGTGGATTATGATTGTGTTATCAAATATCATATTACAACAACATAATCATTTCGTTATCAGATATCAGTGCTAAACTATAAAACAACAAGACCTTATTTTATCTTTTTTAAGCCTTTGTAATGATTTTTTTTTATATCTTAATATATGAAAATAAATTTTAATGATTATATGTATAAGGTGTAGCTACTAAATAATAAAAAAAATATTGGTAACTTTATATTTTATCCGTAATTTTTTTTTTTATAAAAAAATATATGTAAGAAGACCCCACTTTCAAAACCCGCCGAAGACCCCATAAATCTCAAGATCGACCTTGCCAAGAAGTCTCAAATTCAAATCTTACGAATGTCAAACATTCCAAATCTTAGGGCCACTGAAAGTTTGCTTGGTTGTTAACTTCAGGGTCTCGAAATTAGTTGACGTGAGCGTAAGCTAGACCGGACAAAAAAAAGAAAAAAAGGAAAGAAAAAACAACAACAACAACAACAACAACAAAGGAATCCAATGTCTTTGACAAATGCAAACCCATTCAAACCAATCTATTGTATATTAGGCTACCTAAAGCTTAAGATCACTCCCTGTTCAAACAATACCTAAAGCTTCATCTAGAACAAGCAAATAACATTAGAAACATTAGTGCATTGATTGAATGAGATTAAAGACTGGGGTCTTCAAAAGAATGGCCTATGCCATTTAGTATTCTTGTTTTGTCATGTTTGCATCTTAGATTTGTTATTGAAAAAAGAAAAGTAAATGGAAAGAAATAGTAAAAAAGAAAAGAAAAAAAAACTACTTTATTTGCTTCCTTTTTTTTTTTTCAATTCACAAATTCCTCTCTAAACCTAAGATTCAAACGCAGTTGTGAGGTGATAAGCTCACGGATTTGGTCCCACATGGAATGTCTGCTAGCATCCATTTGCAACTTGAAAATTAAGTAGCCTTTGGCCACACATGGAATGTCAGCTAGCATCCATTTGCAACTTGAAAATTAAAGTAGCCTTCAACCTAATCAACCCATGTGTCGCTGGCTAAGGATTCTTTGTCTTTAAATTCCTCTATTCCCCTATCTCAAAACGTCAAAATCTATTGAAACATTAAAAATCTTAAGATGCAATAATTTCAAGATATGATCCATGATCCAATGAATGTTAATGTATTGAAATAAGGGAATAGAGAATTTAGAGACAGAACGCATGCCTCATGTGCTACCCAATTTGATGACAAAAAGGGCACAAAGATAGTGGAAAAAAGAGGAACTCAACATCCCAGTATGGAGGCCATCTCCAAATTTTTGACTTTGGGATTGTAAAAGAAAGTCCTTTTTCTAGAAAAAGAGAAAACACCCATCTCTACGGCTTGCTTTTTGATATTTAAGACAGATAGGGCTTGCCAAATCAAGAAAAGGAACATGAGAAACACCCATCATTTTCACTCAAGATTGAAAGAGATATGAAGCCTATAATAAACCAGATGTATCTATCAGGTAGCACCACTAGTATACAGCATCACAACAATAGATGAAGTGGGACAAATTTGAAATCAATGAACAGATGAAGTTTGAGATATTTGCAGATGTACCCAAAAAAACAATAGTCATGAAAGTTGTGAAATGTGCAGATTGGGTATACAGAATATAAATCTACACTAAGAAACACGTACAAGCAAATTTTCAAAAAAAAAAAAATGGACACTATATATTCCCGACATGTCTCCAATGTGTCCAACTAAAAAAATGAGACACTTCCTCCAATGTGTCTTACGAGTGTTTGGAGCGTGTGTCCATGTCCCACACGTGTCAGACGACCTTCAGAGAGGTTTTTATGCTTCATTCATAGAATCAACACTATACATTCAAATTCTAAATACTTTTTTTGAATATTTTTTCTAGGCACATGGTATTTTCTGTTAGAAGGTGACAGTTCGTGGAAGGCATAGACAGTGAAAAGGCAAGGGCAGAAAATAATTCTCATTTTATCTTCAGAATGCATTTACTCCCATTGTATTTCTAAATGCAAAAAATTTAAATATTCCCATTTTCATGAACTAGCAGCTTTCTTAAGCCAGTACATTTTCATAATAACTGAAAATAGAGACAAAAAGAAAAAGAAAAGGCAAAGCAAATAACCAAAAAAAGAAAAAGAAAAAGGAATTTCAGACAAACATTTTCAGTTAAAACCACATAAAATCTAATGAGAAACAAAATTAGGGAGCAATTTCAAGCCTGGGTTCAAAGCAAAAACCAGTAAAGAGCTGAAGAGGGAACTTCTTTGTCACCGGGCATTTCTGCGACCATTTCCACTGCTTTAGGTTCATGTCAAAAACAAGAAGAGCGGGTGCTCCATAGCTTTGAATGTATACGAGGTCATCTGTACCGCTGCTAGCAAAAACATCATCTAACTCCCCAAATCCTTGAAAGAACTTATGAGGCATACGCCCAATCTCTTGCCACTCCTTGCCATTCAAAACCCATATCCCAATGCCTTTTATTATGTCAGGCCGATCTTGTCTTCCAATCCCTCCAACCATAACCAACTTCTCCTTGAGGTTCATTGACCGGCCACAAGTAAGAGAACAAGGCACCGGGATAGAACTCCCAATCAATAAACCATGGGGAGATCGGTTTGAAAGGTTATAAGCGATTAGGCCATGACGATTCTCTGGCATGCCTCCTCCGGTTGAGTAAATCAAGAAATACAATACACCATCGCAGATCACACTCTCGTCACCGCCTCTCCACCCAGTCAGAACCTCTGACAGAGGAGTTACCCACATCATCTTCTCAGAGTCATAAATATGAATAGAGAGATCCCACTGGAAAAAATTTCCTGGGACTTGCTTACATTTCACAACCGAGACATTGTAATTGTGCGACACCCTATTCACTGAGAATGCCAACGCACTGTAATCAGAAAATTTCAAGCCCGGAGGCTCTTGAAGGATCTTGCAGTGTTTGGTTATCGGATTACAAACGCATAGCTTACTTCGGCTATCATTGTCCATGAAGCAAACTAAGCCACAAGACGAAGCAATGAACCAATTAGATGTCTCAATACAGGGGAGTTCGATGCCGTACCACTTTCGAAGGATGGGATCGTAGGCATAACCAATAGGTTCATCGGAGCTCGTAAACATGAAATACCAAGGTTTTTGTGATGACACATGAGAGAAATTCCATAAAAACCGTCTTGAACTAACTATCTCATACCATCTTTTACACACACAACCCGCTCTGAAGATGCTTGCAATTGGGAGATAGGCCAAGATTCTCTCCAACAAGTCATCGGGTAGGACTAAATCCAGTGAAACAGCCATAACTTCTTTATTTCCTTCATCACTAACCTGTGAGAATGAATCAAACTCCACAACTTCTCTCGCAATGTCGTCGAGGCAATGACTAACCCATGATGTTTCTCCCTCCATGATCAAGAATAGAAAAGAAATCCTAAAAATAAGAAGGGAAAAAAGCAAACTGGATTATAAAGGTAAGACAAATACATCATCAAATGATAAGCCTTGATATTGGAATTGCCTAAATCTCTCTCAAGTCATGAAGAAATTTCAAATCACGGGGCTAGACCAATCGAATTTCAATCACTAGGAAAAATATCAAAATTGAGGAAACAGATGACTTGTGCATTGAAAATCGATTTTGGTAACACTAGAAATAAAATTAACTTGTAGAAGATCAGACAAAACCGATTCCTGTTATGTTATATACGCTTATCATGAGTTAGAACTACATAATTATAAATATTATCAGATTAAGAAGATCACTGTCCCGCTTGCCTCAAAGCCATTGAAAAGTGAGAGAAATTTATAAATAACAAATGAAATATGCCACAAATTCATCCAAAGAGAATACCATTTAAACAGCAATCACCCGAAGATCCTACAGTGAAATCACATCCCATTGCCTACATACATAATTTAGTGATTATGGATGTAGCAAAACCATTTCATGTATATAATATGTATACATAAAATTTAACATCTATTTAACTCAACGGCCAAATTTCATGGCTGACAATCAAACCAAGGCTGCAGAGTTGAAATCAAACTACCTTCAACTATCTATATCAGGGGAAAGAATGAAATGCATCATCAAGAAACCACCACTTCAGCAAATACCGATTTAATTTTAAGAACAAATAAATTAAGAAAAACTTCAATCTAAAGTGAAAAATTGCACAAAGACTCAAGAGAATAGATACAATCTTTAAAATCATATGAGATTAGGTAAATAACCAGATGAATATAATCAGAATCTGAACAACCACTGACATGAGAAATACTAATTTTGGATTTGAAGATTATTTGTAGCACTTAAAAGTTACATTCAAATGACTAACCAACAAAACAGGAAAATGCAACAAGTGGTTTCTTAAAGACACTATAAAAGGATAAAAACATTTGAAACTAACAGAACACAAAACAAGACAAAAATCAGCTATTCTTAAAAAGATCAGCACAATGTTAATTTACTTACTAATCCAAACACAACCAATGTAAATTTCCCAGGAAACAACCACCTCCATGGTTTTGTACACCAAACCCTAAATGGTTTCGTGAGGAAAGCTAATTGGAGAATGTTAAGAGCAATCAATCATGCATCAAAAACCCCCAACTAATTCACTAAAAACAAATACAAAATACAAAATACAAAAAAAAAAAAAAAAAACCCAACAAATTGAAACACAAACAGATCATAGAAAAGCCCAGAGACAAGAACAACACAAACAAATCAAGAAATGAAAGAAATCAAGAAACACACCTTTAAAGGGCACACAGCTTTGTCTTGGCTATGAAATCCAAATGGGTCTTGCAAGATTTGTCAAGAACATCAAGATTTAAAGGGAAAAAGGGGGCATAAAATATCAGTGAATAGTGAATAGAGCAGAGAAAGCCATTATAAAAAAGAAGAGAAAGTGAACAGCCCTGAAATTGGTTGGGTTTGATTTGGGAGATGAACATGCATAAACTAAGCTAAACCCAGATAAAAACGAAAGAAAGAAAGAGAGATGTGTGGTGTTTCTTTGTTTCTTTCTTTTTCGTTCTTTCGATGTTAACAAAAAAGACAGTCAGAGAGTAGGGGGTTTTTCAATAGGTAGGTAGATATAGAGAGAAAGTAAAGAGAGGGTGTGTGTGAGAGAGAGAGAGAGAGAGTGGAGTGGAGAGAATGTGGAAGGGGTTGGAGATGGGTTTTTCAAGGAGTCGAATGATTCATGGATTTTAACGGGACAGAAAATCGTTTGGGATTTTTTGGCCATAGTCACAAGGCAAATAATGCGGTCTCACTCATCACAACTTATCTATTTTTTTTATGAAAAAAATAATAATAATAAGGCAATAATCAATTTTAAAAAGTTTATTAATTGTAAGAAAATTTACTATTTTTGTGAGAAAATTTATTCACTCTGTTTTATTTAATTTTCAGAATTTATTTTTTTAATTTTTTTTGTTTTGTTTTGTTTTTTTTTTGTTTTTACTATTTTTTTATACATATTTTAAGTATTTTTTAAAAAAATTTTAGACACATCTAACATAAATGTACTTAAAAATATAATATTTAAAAAATTCACTAAATATCAAAAATATAAAAAAAATATGAAAATTCAGTACATTTTTCATATTTTTGTGTATTTATTAATTTTTTAAAAATATTTTTCACAAATATTTTACTATTCAGATATATCTAAGTAAGGTACACCTAAAAAAATTATTTAAAATTTTAAAAATATTCACTAAAAATAAAAAAAAACAAAAAATAAAAATTTAATTTTTAAAAAACTGAAGCCAAGTACACTGACTAATTTTTTGTGATGAATGTTATGATTGTTGTATAACACAACAAAAAAATGTTACGATTTGTAATGAAAGTTATGAAATGTGAAGTTATGATATGCACTTAAAAATTATGTATAATTAAAATTATAGTTTTTGTGAGAAATAAAAAGTTATATTTTTACGAAGAAAACAAAATAATACGTTTTGTAATAAAAACTAGGGGTTTTTTTTTTTAAGGTCCTTGATATTATGATTTTATAGCATAAAGGACATCAAATATTTTTATGATGTCTAAGGTCCATCAACAATATTTTCATAATGTCTAAGGTCCCTCAACCTTGATCCAGAGAAATTTCAGTCCAGAGAAAATTGGTCCAGAGAAATTTCAGTCCAAATTTCTCTGGACCAACCCTAATAAAATTTAGTTCAAAAATCAAAGAATTTCTCTGGTTTCAACCTAGAGAAAATTCAATTCAAAAACCAGAGAATTTCTCTGGTTTCAACTTCAAATGAAAAAAAAAAAATTCAATTCACAATTTGGAACCTGGAATGCTTAATTTGAAACCCAGAGAATTTCTCTGGACTAGCATTGCTATTGCTTGTGGTGAACCCAACACAACTGCAATTGTTCCAGCACTTTTCCATACAATGTTACTGAGAACAAGATCATCTTGTTCAAATGGTAAGCTAACATAGATCGAATGCGATGAATCGGATACTTTAACGTAGAACCCATGTTTCGGCCATAGATTCTTCTCATGAAGATCCGCGGGGACAATGTCGGTCACCTGCACAAGCGAGCTCCGGTGCTCACTCGTAGGTTTGACCCCTGTATTCATTCCATTGAGAAGCTTCAGCAGAACTCCAGGGGCTAATGTTGCCATGGTCGGTTTTGAGTTAAACCCAGAAACAATTGAGTGATAATGATAGTAACAGAAAAGAAAAAATCCCCCAAATTGAGGTGTGAAATCAAGAATTCAATCAAGATTCGATGTGAAATGGGATAAAGTAAAAAGAAACCCAGAAAAGTAAGAGCTAAAAAGCTTATGAATTTCAACTCCAAACAACTACAATATCAAGAAAGAAGAAAAGATTGGATCAAAGAGTCAAAGGGGTAAAATCTCAAGAGAAATTTTGTACTTGAGAGACCGAACTAGGGTTTCAGTTGCTGAAGCATCTCTCAGTGCTTGAAGGGCAATCTTTTGTGCTGTTTCCCTTCAACACAGCTGAGAAGAAAAGCTCGACTCCACCACCGAGTTTGCGGAATGCAAGAGTGACAATTTCTCTCAACATGGGTGGAGATGCACATAATTCATCAAACTCAAGGGTGACTTCACAATCAGAGTCGTCCCAATATGATAGTTTGCCCTCCAATGACAACAACACTAGTCTGGCCCTGAATTTACCCGGAAGACTAAGCATTCTGGGCAATGGCTGGAGGAAGTTAAGGAAGCAGCTTATGATGCGGCTGATCTATTGGATTTGATGATAGCAAACAATAATTTTTGCAAAACCTTGTTATCCGGAAGCTTAATTCTATCACCTATGTCTAATTTGTTGGGTATGGGGGGTGAGGGACCTTAGACTACAAAAGAATATATTGTGGACCTAATCCATTACTAAAAGGTGGATAGGGACCTTAGACCGATTTTTCCTAAAAACTATTACATACCCTCTAAATATATATATATATATAAATAAAGTGCACATATAGTAGTTTTCCCCTACAATCAATATATTCCTAATATGGTTCTCAAAAAAAAAAAAATCTTCCTAATAAAAGAAAAATAATAATATTAGGAAGCTTCTCTAATTTATTAGAACATTTACTACAACAATGATAGAGAATTCTAAGCCTCCGTTTAGAAAGTGGGTTGACTTTTTGGTTTTTTAGCTATTTTAGCCTGAGCTATTTTAGCCTGGTTTGGGAAGGGCTTTTTGACTTTTTGGATTTTTTGACTTTTTTTATGAGAGAGGATTGTAATGATTATGGGTTGGATTTGATGTTTTGTTTTTGGTGGCTAACATAGCCTATTTTGTTTTTTGTGTTTAGCCAAAAAAGCTTGGCTTTTTTCTTCCCAAACGGAGCCTAATTTTAGAATTTTAAAGAGAGTTCTAGTGATGTGACAAGAAGAAAAAAAAAATATAGATACACACATCATATCACATGTAGGTCCGACTCCTTATTACATCACTAAAACTCTCTTTAAAACTTCAAAATTAAAACTCTCCACCTTTATTCTATTTACTAATTATCCACGTGACAGCTCACCTTACATTTAATAAGATTTGCCTAATTGTCCTCTTAAATAAAAACGTATAAGAATAATCATTAAGTGATTGAATTATGACTCACTCATTAACTCGTCAAATTATTAAAATTATGATGTAATATGATTGAAGCGTAACATCAAACAAATTATGTGATAACTTTGTGCAAATCTCATCTCAATCGCAGATAGTAAATTTTGCTTAAAATTAAAGATAAGGTATTGATCGATGAATTGGTGTGAACGGTGTGAATGTGTTATAGTTTTCATTTTCGTATATCTTCTTGCGGATTAGAATGTATATATATATTTAGACTTTTTAATTATTAAAAAAATTGTACAAATATTCTTTTTTTGGCTAGTTGAAATTAAGGATGTAAACATTTAAAAATTTATTAAGTTTCAAAATTGTGTTTAAATTTAATTTATTTATTTTGGAGTCAATCTCAAATGAATTTTAATTTAACTGAACTCAAGTAATTTGATTTTTTATTCAATTTTAAAGTGTATATAAGTTTATCAAGTCAAACAAAATTATTATTATTATTTTTTTTTTTTTTTTTACAAACTTCATTATATGTTTAAACTAGACTTGTTTATATATCGAGTTAATTTCGAACTCTTTTTAAAGAGTAGAGCTCAAGTTGCTTACTTCATTTTATAATTGTAATTCAAAGAAAATCAAGACTCCTCTTGACACGATTCAATGTGATAGTGTTACAAACGAGAAGTTTAACTATACAAATTTAGAGTTGAGGGGTCAAATAACTTTCAATTGTAATTTAGGGGTGTTTAATTAACTATTCTGTTTAACCTTTTTTTCCTTTTGTTTCCCCTCCATTATATGGGTGTAATTACAGCATCTAATAGCTGTAAAAAAAAAAAAAAAAAAATTTTACCTATACGTCTTAATAGGTAAACTTATTATCTAATAGGTCGTATAATAATTAATGACATTTTTCATCATATACTATTAAATGAAAAATGTCATTAATTGTTAATTTTTAATGATAGTTTGAAAATTTTATTACAAAAAATGTCACTAATTATAAGTTTTAACGATAACTTAGAGAATTCGTCACAAAAAAATGTCACTAATTTTAAATTTTAGCTACCATTTATAAAAATCGTGATATAAAAAAGTCATTAATTATCAATTTTTAGCGACATATACAACAAATCATTATAAAAAATTATTTTTAATGACAATTTTATTAAGACTATTTTCAATAGGGTTTGATAAAAATTAAATCAAACTATTAGAATTTATTAGTAATTTATCCTAAAAAAAAATTACATCAACCATTCTATTCAATTTTTCCTACTTTATTAAGTTTACAAAGTTATTTTTGAGCATCCTTAGCAGACCCCCTAAATCATTCCCTTACCTTTTTTAGGGGTTGAAACTTCCTTATACTACCATATCAGCTCCCTTATAAGCCACCCTAAATTAGTATTTGCTATAGTGGCTCTCTATTTGTAGGGAGTCGCTGTAGCTTCTTCATATGTGACAGTCATCGTTCACCCGGATGTCCCAGATGAGTGATTTGAGCAAAACTTGCTTCGTCGGTCATCTATCCGGACGTTTAGTTGGTCAACCTCCCAAACGTCCAGCCGATTGACCAGCCGGTCGACCACCCCTTAGTCACTGCTTTGCTTTGTCCATTCTCAAACCTTAAATGTCTTCTGCAAAAGTGCTTTTGTATACATACAAAGGTGGAGTGCTTAAATCTCCATAAACAACCCCCAAGCTCTGATAAGCCAGGTAATTGAAGTTTATATACATGTATTGTATAGATATATATAAGCAGGGATATATATATAGGGAGAGAGAGAGAGCCTGGGTATATGTATATATATATATATCAATTTGTCAAAGACTTGATAATTCTATCCAGAGTGAGTGTGAAGAAAAGAACAATTAATCATTGTGATGATCGTTCCATCCATTATCTCGCGCTTGTTTGGTAAGTTCCATAAAGTCTTTTTTTTTTTTCCCCTCATTACAGGGCTGTCTCAGAAGGAAAATGAAAATGAAAAGCCCATTTTTGCATCAATTTAAAGAGAAATAAAGAGGACCTAGATAGGTGAACACCATCCCCAGTTCAGAAAATCTAAGAAGAAGATGAAAAAGTGAAAGAATAGGGAAATAATATTTG